TCAAGAGATGTAACTAAAACCGTGGCTGCATTTCTTCCCTCTGGAGTGACGTGTGCTTGGGGCACACCCAGGCAAAACCAGCGTGGTCCACTGACCAGTGGGAACTGGAAGGGATCCTGTGTGAATCCCAGCTAGTCCCAGGCTTGCCCTCTCCTAGTACAGCAGGAAGCAGAGGGTCACCTCCTCCTGGTGGTTACCTGGACGCACATGCCGTGTTCATTTCCTCCCTCCTGAGTCCTGTGGAAATCAAGTTCAAAATGAATTAACACCTAGTTCAGAAGAGATAAGCTCTGTTCTTGGCCTCAGAGCGCCCGTTATTTCTATATTTCCTAGCGAAGTACGGACAATATTTAAATGGAAATCTGTTCTCATTGTCATTGTGCATTGATTTTTATGTTGCCCAATTTCTCTGCTTATTTTGAGCCCTGCTGGCTTGGCTCATAGCATCATGTCTTCTCCTTTTATTTATTTGGTTTTCTCTTTCTTTTATTTTTATTATTATTATTTTTTAATCTCCCAAATAATTGTGTCTGAGTTGTGGTCAAGATTCACAGAAACCCCCTTGATTAAATTTCTCATTCATTTATACAGCACCCATTCCTGTGTGCTTCGAGAGTATTTTTAGAAACCTAATGAGGAGGAAGGATTTGTGTTTCATTTCCCTCAGCTTCCCTCTGTTCAGACACCTGCGCTTGCCAATAATTACCACTCCTGTGGCGCACATTCTTGCTTTCCCTGCCTGTTGCTCAGTGCTTTGAAATAATATTGGGGAAAAGCTGGGTGCAGAGGCATATATCTGCGCTGGAAAGAAAACAAAAACAGAAACAGTTGTTATTTTCTCCTGGTCGATCAATAGAAGATACTTATAAAGAGTAAAAGCTATTTTAGTACCATTTTTAAGGCCGGTATTTTCGTTTCTTCTTCCAGCAGCCTCACCTAGTCTCAACAGGTCACCTCCTTTGGTCATCTTGTCTGTCTGTCTGTCTGTCTGTCTCCCTTCCTCCCTCTCTTCCTTCCTCTCTCTTTCTTTCCTTTTTTCTTTTCTTTCTCTCTCCTTCCTTCCTCTTCCTTCCTTCCTTCCTTCCTTCCTTCCTTCCTTCCTTCCTTCCTTCCTTCCTTCCTTCCTCCCTCCCTCCCTTCCTTCCTTCCTTCCTTCCCCCCTCCCTCCCTCCCTCCCTCCCTCCCCTCCTTCCTTCTTCCCTCCCTCCCTCCCTCCCTCCCTTCCTCCCTCTTTCCTTCTTTCCTTCTTTCTTTCTCTCTGTTTTTTTGAGGCAGGGTTTCTCTTTCTAACCTTGGCTGTCCTGGAACTTGCTCTGTAGATCAGGCTGGCATCGAACTCACAGAGATCCACCTGCCTCTGCCAGGATTAAATGCTAGGATTAAAGGTGTGCAACACCACCACCCACCTGGTCATCTTGTTTCTTAATAACAACAATAATAATAATAATGATAATAATTCGAATGCCATTTGCGACTCCTGCTGTTTTTCAGAAGTGGAAACTACTTTGTGTGACATCCATCGGCAGCAGCAGTCTCTTGGTGAAACTAGTGTACGTCAGTTGGGTTTTGCAGTGGGTGATAGTCACCAAAGCATTTTAAAAACATTTATTCACGAGAACACATTCTCTCTTCTGGAGCGTTAGCCTATTCCCCTTTACTTTAGGTAAAATTTTCATTGAACAGTAGCGTTCGTGCAGAAAAGTATGAAAAACTTAGCGTATAGTGTGTTGAGCTTTCATTAGCCTGCTGCATCTCTGACCAAGATGCAGGTTGAGAGACGGAATCTCACCATCGCTTCAGAAGCCCCACTTCCGGTCCTGCAGCGCTTCAGTGCCTTCAGATCAGCTCTGCTTGGTCTGACAACAGGCACGTAAATTGGATCAGCTATAGGCTCTTCTGGTGTGGAAGCTTCAGTCGTGTCTTGGTGTGTCGTTGTTGTTGGTTCAGTCCTGATGCTGTTAGGATGCTGTTGTTTGATTATGTGAAAATGTGTCCATCCTGCTACTGATGGGTGTAGGGTGTCCCCCTGGGTTGCTGTTGCTGTGTGTTCCTGCGCATTGCTTTAGCGACTACACAAGTACATACGTAGGCATAGAGTTGTTAGCCACGTTCACATATGTTCCCCTGAACAGGGCTCACAGGAGGTTGCACTGGCGTACATTTCCTCCAGTAGCACACGAGTGTTTCTGTGGCTTGGCATTGGTGATTGCTACGAGCTGTCTGTCTTCTTTTCACCCAGTTTAGTCACTATCACCACTCAGTGATACCTTATTTTTAAACTGCGTGACCCCTGCTTTAGTAAAGAAGGTGGTGGTCTTTTTGTAGAATTACTGAGCCTTAGTACAGTGGTTTAGAAAGTATTTTGATCTCAATTACGTCTTTCAGTCACTTCAGCCAACATTAGGACAACAAACTTAAGAGATTAGATTTGTCAGTGTTTATGGAGTTGTATGTACTTCTAGGCCAGCAGGTCTCTACATTTTTATCTTATTTTTCTCATTGCTCCATTTGTAGTGTTTTGGGATGTTTCAGAACATGCATGAGGGCTTGAAGGGATGGCTCATCAGTTAAGAGCCTTTACTGTTTTTTCAGGGGAGCTGAGATTGGTTCCCAGCACCCGTATCGGGTAGATCCCAGATGCCTGTAAACTCCAGCTCCAGTGATCTGACACCCTCTACTGGCTTCCTCATGCACCTTCACACATGTGTGCATGCACACAAACAGAAAGAAAACAAATGTTTTAAAAAAAAAAAATATATATATATATATATATATATATAATTATACATTCATTCTTTCTACAAGTCTTCCATCTCATGCTGGACATAGTGGAGGGTGCAAAAGTGAGGGAAACGGCCTCGCTCTCCTACAAGCTCAGATGAGTGTGTTGATGATGCTGTAACGAAGCTCTGGGGGCCCGAGGAAGGGGAGGATGCAGGAGCATCTCCTAGCCGCTGACGTGCCTTTGCACCTGATTGCCCAGCAGTTTTGTAAATGGAAGTGGGGAAGGAAGGAGCTCTCCCTGAGGTCTTACCTGCTCAGGGCAGTGTGGCTCCTGTGTGGAGGGGAATGTAGAGGAAGAAGGGGGCAGAGCGTGGCATGGGTTTTCTTTAAAAGATATGTCTATTTGCTGTGTGTGTGTCTATTGTGTGTGTGGTGCATGCATGGAGGTCAGAGGAACACTTTGTAGAGTCTGTTCTCTTTCTGCCTTTGTCTAGGTGTCTGGGATGGACTCAGACCGATAGGATTCTGCGCCAAGTGCTTGACTTGCCGAGTAAACCCACCAGCCTCGATTTTGTTTATATTTAAAGATAAACTGTTTTTTTTTTTCCCCTTGTGTGTGGTAGTGTGTGTGTGTATTTGTGTGTGTGTAGGTAGGTCAGAGATTGGCATGGATTGTCTTCCTCAATCATTCCCACCTTCATTATTGAAGCAGGGTCTCTTACTTGAACTCAGAGCTCTCTGTTTTGTCTAGTCTGCCTAACCGGTGTATTGTGGGGATCTCCTGTCTTTACCTCTGGGGTTACAAACAAGCCACCGTGCTAGTCTGGCATTTCTGTGGGAGCTAAGATTTGAACTTAGATCCTCACATTTGCATGGCAACCACTTTACTCATGGATCCATCTCCATAACCCTAAGAAACTAAATTTGAAATTTGTTTTATTTTTTGAGATTATCATATAATTATATCATTTCTCCCCCTTCTTTCCTCCCTCCAAGTCTTTCTATATCCCCATTCAGACTCCTTTTCGAATCCATGGACTCAGTTTTCATTAGTTGTTGTTACAGATATAAATACAACCTGCTGAGTCTGTATGATTAAAAAAAAAATAGAATTAAAAACAAACTCATTAGAAGAAGCAACTGAGACACACAGAGATACAACGTTGCATTGGCCTCTATTCTGATAGGGCAGTGGGTTGTGGAGCCTTTGCCTGAGTTGGGCTGGCAGTGGATCACGTGCCTGGAGCCTCTCTGGAAATGTTGAAGATGTGCGTCCTTCTGATTCCACTTGCACAGCTGTACCTCACAGCTGCTGTACTTAAGGTCAGCAAAAGGCTGTGATAGCCTGACAGTATACACTGCAGCTAACTGAACGTGGGAGAATGGGAAGGAAGTAGTGGTCCATTTCTTTAATGGCTTCCCACATAGCTCATAATTGCCCTGAGGCAGTTTCCTGTCTCATGCCTATCTTTATGGCTCAATCCTAAGGATGTGTACAATGGTGCATTGTGTAGTAGTGGTTGTTGAAAAATGAGGGGAAATGTAAATTTCTTATCTGAAAGAAAATAGAGGTGACATGGATTATATTAATTTCTTCCTGCGAGGAGAGGTATGGCTGGAGGACAGGAGTGTGTAGGGTTTTGAAACATGTAAGTGAGATCATACCCCTCCCCAAAAAGAAGGGCTTTGAGTGGCAGTCAAACCGATAAAAACGTTTGGAATTGACAGCATCTACTAGAGCACCTTCTGTCTCTTAATCCTCCCACAGTAGTCAGATGAAGCCACGATTTTCGCTGCTTTTCAGATAAAGAAGCTCAGATCCATTTTTAAAAACAATTTGCATGAAATCACTTAGTGGCTGATATTATAATTGAGAACATTGAGTTGATTGTTCAAGAAATAATAACTTCATCTACCATGTGCGGATTGAAGGGTAAAGGGTAAACCCTCAAGTACTTTTTTGGTGAAATGAACTCATACTGACGAATGGTAGTGATTGGAGGCTTATTTTCTAGACTGAATTTTGCTCACCTCATTACTGCCATGAGCCACTCTCATCGGCCTACCTTAGGGTTTGGTTTCATGCTTATTAGCAGCAAATTTGCAATTCGTTAAGAAGTGGTTCAAGTCGCGATGACTTTTTGCCTAATGCAGCGTGTGGGTTGTGGCAGGGAGTCTGTTTAGAACTGTAATCTTCTTTACTGATGGGAAACAGGACAATTGGGTTTCTTCCCCAGACCTTAGAGTGGCAATTGTTTTTCTTTTTTCTCTTTCAGGACTGCCCTGTCTCCGCAAAGACCAAAAGGAGAGGTCAATGCCACATTGATAACACTGTCCCCTGCTTTCAGGAGCACTGAGCTTGTTCAGGTACAGTCACAGGAACTTTTCTAGAATGCTTTAATGGCAGTTCTACTGATTTGTTGTTTGACCTTGACAGCGTTCGCTAAAGCAGATAGAATTTAATTTAATTTTAATTATGCTAATGAGCAGCCAGGAGTTGGGGGCGTGTAGGGAGGTACTCAAGAGTTTACCACTGTCACTGGTGGTACAGATCAGAAATGGGAGAGTCATAGAACAAAAAGAACGTCTTCTAAAAGGGATTCCAGCCAACCAGAGGAACATCATGAGGAGAAAGTGGTGCTTGAAGGCTGGAAGAACCGAGGGGGGGGGGGGAAGCTGGTTTTTGCTTATAAAGAAAATAATGAATCTGCAGAAAAGAATGCATTTTTATTCCTGTAAGGCAACTAGGTAAGTAGTTTAAAGACAGATGTTGAGGTCAGAAAGTGCAAGGAAAGTTTCACACTTCAGGGACTGGCAAATTATCTGAACACTTTAGGCCACAATGAGAGCTGCTTTATAAACTGACTGGCTTGTGCACCTCCTCGCAGCTTTGTGGTTGTGAGAGGTGAGCAGGCAGAGGCTGCAGTTTCATCCTTCAGTGTTCATGACGACATCAGATGAGCTGGTGGGGAGAGAATCAGTGAAGGGTTGTATTTGAAAACTTAGCTGCATTCTAGTCTGCCTGGCTTGATTGCCCAAATGTGGCTGCGCCTGGAAAGAACAGAAAAGGACTGGTTAGCTGGGGGTGCAGGGCCAGTAATCCTCCTGGGGCAGGCTTCTCTCCCATTGGGGTTTTACTGAAGCCTTGAGACCTAGTGTGTGGCCCTACAAAGTAGGTTCCTGGGTGATGATGGCAGTCACCCCAACTTCACATCCAGATGTTAACTGTGGTTTACTCTTAGCGCGTGCTGGGAGGGGGTCAGAAAGTGTTTTTCCTGAGGCTGCTCTTGGTCTTGATAGAAGCGGACCTATTGGTGATCTGGACTGTGAAGTGTGAGTTACTGTCCGACACTTTGCAGATGGTGAAGCCGGCTGGTAGGTTGGAAGCAGTTGGGAAACAGCCTGACGTCATGGCTACAAGTGCAGGGTTTTCTCAGTTGGGTCAAAAACTCGTGCGAGTGAAACTGCCCTGCAGTGGACGTGCTCAATGAGCTCGCGGTTGCGTGTTTAAAGAAGAGCATCCACTCGGCAGATGTTTATCATATGCCTATGAGTTCAGTAACCTGTCCCTGTCCCATGTAGGTCGTAGGAATGAACAGGAGTGTGTGACCTTCAAATTAGTTACGTGTGTCACGTCTGATAAATGCTATGGAGGGACATTAAGAAGAGACAAGAAACTTGGGGCAGTGTAGGGGAGCAAGAGTTGACGTTCGGTTTTACTTGAGGTGGTCAAGAGCCTCTCTAAGTGCTATTTAAGCAGAGAGCTGAAGAGACCAGTCACAGGTCTCAGGTATGTCTGATTATCCTGTAGAGGAGATAAGAATGCAAAGGCCCTGGCCACTCCAAAGCCAGGGAGAATGACTAGAGCAGATGATCTTTAAGGACACGAGCTGCGTCTGTCTTGTGGATGAGCACTCTGTCCCCAGCATAGCATCCCAGGACTTAGTGTATTTTTGTTGATGAAACACAGGAATCCCGAAACGACAGAGGAACAGCAGTACTCATTCTCATCATGGTAAAATTTGAGATTTTTGCCTTTTGGTCATGATCATCAGCTGGTAATGCTATTGGCTTAAGAATATTTATGAATAAAAGAGTTACAACAATATATTAACTAAAAATAACCTGTTGGAAGCCTCTTATGTCCTCAAATATGTGTGGAGAAGAAGGCATGGTGGTGAGAGGGTACCACGGTGTCTTGCCCACATTTGTGTGACCAAGAATCATAGAGCTCTAGCCTGGGGTCAGAGGGAGGCATAACCTTCAAAGTCTTCTCCCTCAACCCTCAGTGACTTACTCACCAGAGGATTCATGACTTCCTAAACTAGTGTCAGCAAGCTGGAGACTATCTGCTCAAACTCTGACCCTGTTGGGGCACATTCCATATTCAAACACACCCTCTTGAGTTTTTAAACAATTGCTGAGCCGCTGGCCAAGAGTACTGAGTTCACATAGTTGAAGTAGAGAGAGCACTTGCTTTCTAAATACTTTCTTTGCAGCCGATGTGCCCAGGCTAAGTGTGTGTCTGTAGTGGACGTTTATGTTCATTAAGGTAGGTAAATGGTTCTTGACATCATATGAGTAGCTATAAAGCCTCCATCATTATACAGGTGTTTTAGAGCTCTTTGGGTTTGATGACTTACCTTGGGGGAAGAATTAAAAGGTAACTGTTTTGATGAAGAGAATAATAACTTTGAGTCTAAAGATACTTTGAGTAATAGTGATAATGATGATCTCAAGGGTTTGGGTAGACGGATTGTTCAGGAGAAGCAGCATGGAGACTCCGGAGACTCCTGGGGTTTGGGATGTGCTTCACCTGAGCCACAGTTGTTAGTTTGTTTCCCATGAAAGCCGTAGCTTTCAAAACCGGTAAAGCAGAAGAAAGGTGTTTTATGGAGGTAAACTGCCTCCACCTAACTGAAACTTCCCGTTTTCACATTCCTTCTCCGAGTGTGTTCAACATTTGAGGAGCCCCCCCCCCCCCCCAGGTGTTCTCTCTTGGCTCTCACATTGGTTAGCATGAAGATGTTTTTTTTTTTTTTTTTTTTTTCATGAGCTGTTTTATTTCTAGCCTGGATACATGCTATACCCTAGGTCATGTCACAGCACATTTATAGGAGTGCCAGGTGGCATTGGCCATTTTTAAAATGGAGTCTCATTGGCTTGGTCTAAAGTGATGGTGTTTTCTTTCATTCATCCACCCCATCTATCTTTGCATTTGTTCATACAGTATTTTTTGAGTATTTGTACTATGTCAGGACCAGAAATGACAGTGACTATACATTATCTTTCAGCTTCTGTTTAAAGGAACTTCCTGGAGTGGTGACGTAGCTACGTAGTGGAGCAAGCACATAGCATGTGCGAGATCCTGGGGACAGTCCTTAGCACCCTTCCGCCAAATATATTTCTTGGCTCTGAACTGTCTAGTTGGTATGCAAGCTCTTTGTTTCCTAATGCACTTAATCCTTTTTTGTTTTCTTCCGAGAATCTTATTTGGTTTTCATACTGAGAGGCATAGCAAGCACTTGCTTAGTAAATGTCTATTTAAGAGGAATATTAGAAATTTGGCCATCATTTGGCAGACACTCAGTACTTTAATAGGAGCCATTTAAACTCAACCTCAGAGCAGTGTTTCCTGCAGAGATAGAAATAAGAACCTGCTGGCAACATTTTTACTGTAAGGAAGTCTGGAGAAGAGTCATTTGGTGTGGAGAGATAGGTGCTAAGTCTCCAGGAGAGCTGACGGGGGGGGGGGGGGGGGTGACATCTAGAAAGGTCAGAGTCAGGTAGGTGCTGTTGGGGAAGGGGGTGAGGGGCTGGTGTGTTCTTGTTTACAGTTTCGTCTATGACTGCGTATTGTCTGCCAGGGGAGCCTGATGTGAGCTAACCTTCTTCATCGTGTGGATGCCTTTCCCAGAGTTGAGGATGTGGTAGGATTGTTCCATGCACTGCACTGGGGGAATCGTCTGAGCACTTAGTGTCCTGAGCTGGCTCATGTCAGAGCCACGGTCATGCAGCTCCAGCTTATTCTTCTAACACACTAAAAATAATTTTAGTTTGGACACGAACAGTTAGGTTATACTGTCTGATGTTCCCAGTGCACTGTCCTGAGTATCCCGAGACTTGATAAAAACTGTTTTGGTCAGTGGTTACAGGGCACTGGCTAAATCTTGAGCCTCGTGGACTTCATTCAATTTTCCCATCCTTAAAACCAAAGATGGGACTACTTAGGTTCTGCTGAACTTCTTAGGTCATCCATTACCGGCCTCACTGAATAGAACTATGTGTGTGACTCTAGTGTCTGAATGTTTCAAGTGTCTCTCTCCAAGACATTAACCCTGTCTGAGCTCCTTGTTCAGAGTTTCAAGCAAGTAGCCCAGCCCTCCCCATTCTCTCCTGTCCTTCCTTTTCACTGTTTTGTGATACAATTGATTTGATAGCATCCAAAAGGAGTGTTGCAATCAGTGATCCCAAAGCTCCTTCCATTCTCATTAGTGTCACAATAAAATGAGAGTCCTTGTGCTGAGAAGAAAGAGGAAAACACTTGAGCTCTCTGGCAGCACCCAGCAGCTAGAGCTGAATGTGCTATGGGAGTCCTGCCTGATTCCAGAGATTGCACGGCAGGCCTGTGTCTAAAGTGTCTGTCCCTGCTTGTTTTTGTTTGTTTAGGTCAAAATTAATGAGAAGGTTCTCTTGGAAACCGCAAGGGTTATTTGTACAGGCATCTCTCTATGGTGCTTTAAAAAAAAAAATCTTTACTTTTACTGGAACAAAAGTAAACAAGGTTTTTTGTTTGTTTGTTTTTTTCCCTTTTCTGAGCTCAACACTTTCTGGGGAAAGAGAAAAAAAAAAAAGAGCAGTCATATGTATTCTTAATAATAAGCGCTAACTTTGGCTTTCGTCTACCAGATTTCTCCCCCAGCTTTCATAGCGCTTTTTAAATTTTATGCCATATTCGTACTAACAGGCTTACATGCATGTGTTGGACATCAGTGCGACTCGTCATGGTTCGCCTGTACTGTCCACGCTCACTAGTTAACCAGAAGCGCTATATGAGGTGCAGGGTACATTCGTTATTCATAACCTCAGTCATAACTTGCCTTTTACTCGAGCAGGTAGTTGCCTTATGTTTGTTCCGAAACCTGAGAAAGAAACCAGCTGAGGGGGAATTTATACGAGGCCATCGGAAAAGATGTTCTCAGAAGGGTCTGAATTCTTTCCACAGTCTCAGGCGTCTTCCTCTCTGTCTTCCACATTCTCCCTTCTGGGGCCACAAGCATTGGAAATTGGTATTAAAAGAGCTTTATGGGTTGTTTTTTTTTTTTTTTTGATTGGGTTTTAGAGCCCCAATGCTCCCTTCTGGCCCC